ATTTGAATAAATCAGTAGATGTTGTGCGTGTCTGTTGGGTTTTGCTCTGACCGACTGCTCCATCTTGACTCAAACTGAAGCTGTTTCAGTGTTTCTCATCTCTCCTGCTGTTACAGCTCATTTACTAAAGACGGTACCTTTCTTGGCCAGTGGGGAGTTGAGGACATGCAAAGCGTGAAATCCCGTCTTTTTCAGCTTAAAGCTGTCCAGCGGAGTCGAGCGAGACACGTTCCACACTCTCAGCACGCCGACCTGCGAGTCTGAGGGACAGAAACAAATCACTGGACACGCCTCGGAGGCTCTTTCATACTGTAAATATATTCAGTGAACCCACTTAAATGTGTTATTGTGGACTTCACAAGTCAAATGTTCTCATTATCATGCAAATAAGAATCTATGCATAAAAGATGGCAGCAGGAGAGCGGCATGTCCCACACACCGGCTGCCCGAAGCCCACGTCCACCCGAGCAAACAGAAGGGAACACACATCCCACGTGAACACTCAGGCTTTACCTCCGGTGATGAACATGCCGGGCGCAGACGGGACCCAGGCCAAACACTGCACGGACGCGGCAGCTGAGGGGAAGCAGAACGACGTGATGCAGGCCAAGGCCTCGCTGTCCACCAGCCGGATGCCGTTATGAAGGTTAGACACTGAAAGAGAGGCAACCAGTTCATCGCTTCTGTGGGCGAACGGGCCACAGACCAGACAAAAAGCTATTTTACTGCTCTCAGATCTGACCTAGTAAATAGTCAGTTGACAAAGGGTCCCACTCCAAGGCACTGACAGGGTCCTCCTCATCTGTCCCCTCTAAAGACTCCGGACGCAGCACGTGCTTTTGGCTTTTACTCCCTCAAAAAGAGAACAGGGGGTAAAGGTCTTTTCTTTGGACACACTGAATTTGCATGCTTGACAGAATAATTCTTCTTTATTTCATTCTTAGACACACATAATATTCTGGATAAATATCAGTCTGCTTTCAGAGCCTTCCACAGCACAGAGTCTCTACTGAAGGTGTTCAATGATGTGCTTTTAGCTGCTGACACTGGAAAAAGTACCGTTTTGATTCTTCTAGACCTGAGCGCAGCATTGGACGCTGTCGACCACACGATCCTACTAAACCATCTAAAGACGTGTCGGCATTCAAGGCTCTGCTCTAACATGGTTTGCCTCTTACCTGGAGAGCAGATCCTACTCTGTGATGCTGGGTAACAAATACTCCTCCCAGCTATGCTCACCTGTGGAATACCTCAGGGCTCTATTCTGGGCCCGGTCTTGTTCTCCTTATACATGCTCGCATTAGGCTCCATTTTTCAGAAACACCAGATTTCCTGTCACTCCGATGCAGACGATGCACATTTCTACCTCTCTCTAAAACCAGGTGCTGACAGTACGCTGCAGAAAGTCTCAGAGTGTCTTAGCGACATGCATTGCTGGATGTCT